GGGTGGCATTAAATGTGTTCTCATACAAACTAAAATAAACCCCAAAAAGCCATATCAAATGTCCAAACACAAGACCAATGCCATGTCAAACATCCAAATATAGAACCAATGCCATACCCCCGGGTACCAAATATCCAGAATATAAGACCAAGGCCATTCGAAATATCGAATGCCCCGAGAAGAAGGCAGATCTTTGAGTAAAATGGTCATAAACAACCTCAAATGAAGGATATGTGTAACAACTAGACCAATGCCCCGGGACCAATGCCGTACCACAATTGAGGGGTAACATATTTTCCACACCGATTCTTATACCAGAAAATGGAAAAATCTGTCTTAAAATGTGGGTCCATTGGCTTGACATACCAAATGTAAAAAAGGTACCCCACCTGAGCCGAGTGTGAACCCCCGGGGTGAATGGTGAACACACGGGGCAAGGAATTCTTCGATTTTGATTCAAGTAATTTTTTTTATAAAATTCATACTCATGTTAATAGCGGACGCCTTGGCCAAATAATCGTTCAAATCATGCACTTTCCAAGTGATTTTGTAGCAAAATTGTGATAATATATGAACCCTTGGAATTATTCAAAGACGGACCCCCGCCAGCCCATCCCCCATTCTTACCTATGCTAAACACTAAGATAAACATATAGAATGGTATCTTACACTTTTTTCTAAATGTTGATATCCAAAAAACATATCTTTTTGGTTTATCAACACATACCGCTCACAATATAACAAGTATACAGATTGTAACATAGGTAAGCGAATTGGGGAAAATTACAATCCCTTTGATCAAATTATTATAAGATTTAATCTCCAGCTGAGGTGCAATCAAAATGTTGATACACATAATTAGCAGTCAGAAAGATGCTCTTACCACTGTAGTTTTCAATATTCCCTTTGTTGTAACATCTTATTTCAAAAGAATGGATATTGATGGTTGTATGGAAGTATTCATATCAAACATTCACATTATAGTTTACAGTGGAATTCCCTCCATAAATGCAACATATTTACCATTTAAGATTTCATATTGGACTTTCCGCATAATGATAAAAAGTTGACGATATAGTTTTCGATAAAACCCCAGGGCCGCAGCCAGCTTTCAGTCGGGTGGAGGGGTGATGCAATCACCAAAATATTTTAGGTTTTCAGTCGGGGGGTGCGATCGTGACATAAATGAGGCAAAAAATATTTGTTTTGAATTTTTACGAAAATGATGCAACTTCCTTCAAACCTGAGCTAGAAGCTTCAAACAAAAAATCAATTTAATGCTCTTTTCTTCCTCTACCTTATGGTACCTTTTATTGCTTGTAGGAGAGGGTGCGAACCCACCGCTTCTCCTCGTTACGCTTATAAACCAAATAACGTATTCCCAAGGAATCGACTTTATTAATTTATATGTGAAAAATGAGCTTGCATGTACAAATTGCATCGTATGCAAACCTTCCCCTGACCGACCCGGTCATGTTTATGTCTTTTGAATGATGTCTACCCCTTGATGCATGCATCCTTTAATAAGTGGTGTTAAGAATATTGGTGTAGGCCCTGGTGAAGGGATATGTCATAAAGATTTCACGTTATCGCGATATACATGTAGCAGCGTCCCCTTTGTCTTTATCCTTCCAAACGCAAACGGCAGATAAGAGGGGTTCTTAGTGATTGATCTGATGCTTAATGAGCCACTTACAAGATACAGTTTTAAATATTGATATTGTGTAAAGTTTTAACACATAGGCGTAACCAGGGGGGGGGGTGCGATTCGTGAATGATCGCACCCCCCCCCCTGCTTAACCAATAGAGAAGGAAGAAGAAAGGAGCTTTGAATGGCTTTCATTTGAAACTTCTAGTTCAATTTTGAAGGAATTTGCAATGTCTGGTTCACATTTGCTCAAATTCATCGTCCGGCCTCCGGCCGATTGAGTATTTTGTTTAAAATTGTTTTCATGTTTGAAAAAACACTCAATCGGCCGGCCCCCGGCCGATGAATCGGAGCAAATATGACCCAGGCATATGAGGGGCAACATTTTAGATATAGTATTGTTTGAAATCCTGGGAAAATGGACTCCCCCAATTTTGCAAATCTGGTCTGCGGTGCTAATGAACCCTCTAATTTGTTTTCGTTTGAGCAACTAACAGATATGTTTATTCTCATTCTGTCTCAGCTTGATTTTAATTAAATTTTACCCCCACCCTTCGAACGTCTTTGTCTCCCTCATTTTTGCAACCCTACATTCAGTTTCTTTTTAAACCAAATCAAGATATATCCGTCCACATATCAGATATTAAACCAATAGTTGTTCATTATAAGAACAACCATATATTATATTTATAGATCATAAGCTATTTTTAATTTCAGCTATAAAATTAGCCCTCTCTCCCCTCCTCTATCTCTAGATACGCAGAGTTTCTAGACCGGCTAAGCACGTCTAAAAATTACTAGAAATTCCACAATTTATACAGTGATATGGATTTCATGTTTCTATTGAATCCCTTATTTTGAAGTCTAGCTAAATAATCGAGTTTGATTTTAAACGTTTTCGGGGATCCGGGCAGAACTCAGGATATAGTACTTGAGTACATTTGCATTCAAAATAATTCAAAATTCAAAATTGCAAATATAATGGAAGTTGATTGCAATTATGTTCGATGATCGTCAACATGAAAGAACAATATGTCTGAATAATTAGCTATTAAACATCTTTATCAAAACTTTCCTACACTTTTAAATGTTGATCTTGTCAAAGAGTACTCTCCATCTGAGATTCAGATGTAGATCGAAAATCAAATTGATTTCAAAGGTATTTATAGATGGTTTACATGAGGGGTTCTGTCCGGGTGGTGTATTCCTTTCATAACAAAGAGTTGTTTTGCTTCCGGGGTCCTAAATTATTCAATTTTAAATAGTAACTAATAAGATTAAACAGATCAAAAAGACTCGGGGCACTGCCGTCGCCCCATCATGATCAATACAGGTGACAATAAGCGACACATGTTTCAGCGTCATGATAGTAAACCATGACATCTCAAATCTTCCCAGCCCTTGATTTTTGAGATCTTTCATCCCAGCTCATATTTCATCTAATTGGGGTCATAAAACTTGTGTAACTGTGCCTGTTGCATCCTCGCTGGAAGGGTATTTTACAAGTATAAATGAAGTCCTTTGAAGAAGGATGTGCCTGTTGTTAAATACATGTACAATGCCTTACTACATTATGTTATGTATTGACATTAAGGTAGATGATTACATGATAACAATCACACTTATTGACATTCATAACTCTTCCCATCTGATATGCTCAGATCACAGAATATGCTTCATTATATCAGAGCATGTTTCAGGCGTTTCAGACCCATAGCAAGGATTTGCCAAGGGGTGGGTTACTTTTTTAAGAAATTCCAGGGGGAGTTTACTTTTGGCAATGTTAGTTCAAAAATGAGCAAAATAATTTAAAAGGTGCTCAGTATTGGGTAAAAAATGCAATTTTGGTCACGGAGGGGGGGGGGGGGGGGGGGGGGGGCTCGCTAGAACCAATCTATCCCCCCTGTATTCGGGCCTGCATGTGCTATCTACATATTTGACAATTTGATTGACACGGTTCAAAGTGGACTTTGTTAATTATTCAAACTGTTTTAATATCTAGGAATATGCGTCCAAGTTAAAATCACTCGAAATCAGGGTAGATAAACCTAAGAAAAACACATTTCTTGTTTTCATTTGATCTTTAACATGATCCTGTAAAAATGTCAGATTTAGCAAAATACATAGGCGATCTCTATCTGCACACATCCACTCATTTCGACTAAGCTATTGCCTATACTTACACGCACACGCATACTTTTAAATTAATTTTATTTTGATAATGATTTAAAAAACACAAATTATTATTAACACGAAATTAAAATGATTGTTATATTCCAATCCTAGTAAAGTATAATTAAGCGCGACTATAGGGCATAACAACATGTGGCCGGTCTAATTATACTGTTTGTTTTGATAAGGCTGTGCAAAGAGATATCAAAACTCTTGACACGCTCTTTACACGCGAGGTCTTTGCACCTCTTGACACGTCTTGGAATCTCTAGATACGCGGAGTTCCTAGACTATCTTTGCACGTCTAGAAATTGCTTGGAATTTCACATTTGACGCAGTGTCATTAGTACTCAAGAAGCTGTTCTTTTCTTAATGGCCACCATTTTTTGTTGAAAAATATATCGTTGATGAGTCATATACCATTTGACATTTTTCGTTTAAATATATGCTGATGCCTTATAGATATAATATCTGCTCAAGAAGGAATTCCATTTAGTGACTGCTGAATTCAAAGTGGCCACCTTATTTCATAAAAAGAAATATTTTCTTGATGCCTCACATACCAAGTATCAGTTTTGGTCAGATTTTATGTGCCAATGCTCTATGGACTTTGAACTCAAGTCTAGGCTGAATTCAAAATGGCTGCCTTCTCAGGAAAATATGATTTGATAAGATTTCGACTCAAAAAGGTTATCAGATTTGAATTTTGTATGAATTTTTGAAATTTTATAAATTTGACTGCTTCTACTCAAAAAGGAATTTTTTATATGGCCTCACATCACATTATGTGTTGAGATTTTGTCAAATGGAGTCAACGTATAATACGTGGTCTACTACTTTCTGGTTATTTCTACTTTGTAATGTCCAAGCCAAAATATGTTCTGTTTGGTTGGATTTGCTACTCTGGCGAGTTGCTATTTTTATGTCACTGCCAGAAGTGGTGACATATTGTTATAGTCTCCAATTTTTTTGGATCGAAAAATTCCATATGTCATTTCTACAAAATATATTTTGAAATCAACACCCAGTATTTTAAAATCAAAGGTGGATTGTATATCTTACTTTTGTGACACCTTGTGCACTAACTGTACAATCTCAAACCGGACCCTATGTTTGTAACACCCTATACACATAAGATAACATCGCAGAGTCATAATCTAACCTGAGCCTATGTTTGTAGATGAGAGTGTCCATTCTGTTGATAAAACACTCCTTCCTGCAGAGGAAACTATAAGTGGTATGTACTTGTAGTTTTTTATCATAAATATGTGTACTATTTATTTCAAAAATGGTTCATAAAACCATCATAACCACCATGTATTTATACTTTTAGTCATATATAATCAATCTTTAACAACAATGTACAAGGACCTCCTCTAAGATTCCATGACCCAAAGTTTTATGGAAATAAAAAGTAAACATCCCAAATCATCCAGAAAATAAAAAAATGCAAGTTTCTGAGTTCATATATGAAATGGTAACTGGTCAACTCGTACCCAAGACAACTCGTACCCAAGTATATATTTTGTTTTGAATCAAGCGTTGGACTGGGAATGTGAATAGATATACATGTACATATTATAATTGTAACATACTGTTCAGAATAGTTTAAAGTTTGAAGAAGAATTTTCGGAAGAAATTGATTTAATTTTGTGACATTTTGAGCTGAGTGTCAATTTATATTGACTATTTTTTTATATTGGTCACAGATTCAGGATGTTTGAGTGAAGAGACATATGTTTATTCCACATATTCATAATATCATTTTTCAAAATATTGTATGTTTATGAGTGTTTGGAACAAGTGTCAGATCTAATGTTGTAATTATATTCATTTACATATATGTTTGACAAAATAATGTTCAGAACAAGCGCTTCAAGCACTTCTTTTATTTAATAAAAAATGCTTTACTGATCCATTGAAAAAAAAATGTCTTCTAAATTCAAAAAAATATTGAGGCTTATTTGATTCACATTATAACATGAAAGCATTACAAACTCAATTTTTTCCCTAATATGCACCCATAATACTGAAAATAATCTTGGGTATGAGTTGTCTTGGGTACCAGTTGTCTTGGGTACGAGTTGTCTTGGGTACCAGTTGTCTTGGGTACCAGTTGACTAGGAAGCTATGAAATTACTTGTAATTAATCATATAGAGCTCTTAGTCTCATTTCACAATGCAGTAACTGTCATTTGTTTTTTTCATCCACAGATTCATTATACAGAAGAATGGACAATATCCCATCTCCAGAGGTGCCAGAACGGCGCGTTATTGTCGTTGAGTTGACGAAGGTGGTGCCATATGGTATAGGGCTTACTATAGTAGGGGGAGAGAGTACCAACTCACTGGATCTGGGAATATTTGTCAAGTCTATCATACCTGAAGGCCCAGCACACAGAGATGGTCGATTACAGGTAAATTATTGAAGGTTTAGGTAAATTTTTGAATATTACAGGTAAAATGTAAATCGATTACCTGAGAGATGATTTGTATTGGCTTCGACATACCACATTTGCCTTTTATAATACACTAGAAATTTTCATACCACATTTGACAAATGTTCTTTTCTCAGTAAAGTATGTTTGTTTTAGGTTGGGGATAGAATCATTGCCATCAATGGCCAGAGCCTTGAGGGGATGGCCCACAATGAAACTGTAGGGCTGATTAAACAGTCCCCTGGAGTGGTTCAACTACTCGTATCTCAGCTTGTTCCCCTCAGAGGCACCCCATCACCCCTTCCAGTAGTAGGCTCTTCCATGGATACTCACATGGCAGGAAGATCTGTGATGTCAAAAATGGAGACCCCACATTCAGGAAGTAATGCAAGATCTCAAAATAGTGCCTATCGCCAACACCAGAGGGCAGAGTATGATAAAGATAATCACACAGGGAATTATGGGAACACAGATACGGAAGTTGAAATGATTTTACCTCAGGCAAGAACAATTCCTAAACCTCCACGGAAATCCTCGAAATCCAGAAATTCTGCAGACATATCAAATCAAGGATCTTTCATGGAAAAACCTCCTAGGAGAGCCCACTCTGGATTTTCATCCCCAAGAAGTAAAGTAGGGGATCAATCTCAGGACATGTCGCAAAATAAGCCAGTCCCTGTGACCAATCAAAACAGTCTTCCTGAACAGTCTATACCTCCACCTATTGGGTTCAACCAACAACAACAGTCTAAAACAGGTAGGTAGAATTTATGATATTTACCATCATAATATATTGAACAATTAGGTAACCTATATTGTATGAAAAATGATTCCTGACTTGCTCATCAGTACATCATATATTAATTATATTAGAAACATAATGAAACCTTGATTATTTTATTTTACTTCTGGCAAATATTTTAAATTTCGTTTGAGGCGTATGCTTACTTTTTGGGTGGCTTTATCATCCATGCCTTTGATGTGGCATTTACATGTAGTGACCCTTTGCTCAACTTCAAAATCATCCACCATTATAGCCTACACATATTGGTCACTTTTTATAATAACAACAAATAGTTAGCTAAAAGTGAGAAATTATCATTTCCAGGTTATGAGAGTGAAGATTCCTTTGAGAGTGACATAGATGATATGGAGGCTTCATATGGAGCAATGAGGACATCTATTGATGCAGACCCTGAAGACAATGCATCATCTTCAGATGAGGAACTCCCTGGGTTGCAACATGTGAACCCCTCGGAATTGAAAGAAGGGGATACATATAAAGTGGTGCTTCATAAACTTGCTGGATCTCTTGGATTGAATATAACAGTAAGTGATGTAATGAAACAGTAATATGATGAAATAGTATTAGTATATAAGTAAATAGAGATTATCCTATATGAGGTTCAGGATATTGGGATTATCCCGAGGCCAATATAATATATTTGCCCGAGGGCCGCAGGTCCCGAGGGAAAATATATTATATTGGCCAAGGGATAATCCCAATATCCTGAACCGACTATAGGATAATATGTTTATCCCATACCAATCTTGGTCATCTGGTTCACATTGTTCAATCGTGGAAATATTTTAGAATATTCATGTCCAGTTTTGTTTTCTTGGCCATGGGCGGACTTTCTTGTTCTCTCAAATATTCCCACATTTATTTTCTCGAATTTTTTGATTGATTAAGTGGATGCTCCTTCCCTTTTTTAAACCATCAAACAGATCCCAATAGTCTGTGTTTTCTCCATTGTCGTTTACAGTCATTACGCGAACGTTACAAATTATGAACAAATATGCGAGCGGTGATTATGACGTAGCGGGCAGATATACTATATCTGCCCGCTCGGAGCAGGACGTAAAGCTATATCTGCCCGCTGATGAAAATACAAGATTTTACAAACCGGCTTTATGTACCTAACACGTCCAAGTATGGGATAAAAGACATTATTACATATAGAGTATACCAAAATCACAATCCTTTGGTACATTAAGTTGAATAAATTAACAACAAAAGTGGTGCTATCCAACATTTGATTTGACTTGTTTCTTTAGTTCTTACATGAACAAAACTACATAAATGAGGGCTCTATTTGTCTATGTTATTTCAGGGTGGTGTAAATACAAGCGTTAAACATGGGGGTATCTATGTGAAATCCCTTGTCCCAGGAGGAGTAAGTGACAGGGATTCAAAGATCCAGGTTGGGGATCGTGTACTAGAGATTAATGGCCAGTCTCTAACTGGCTTTACACACAAACAAGCTGTTCAGACCCTCAGAGAATCCCCTGATGTCTGTACCCTTTATATGGAGAGAGGTGTCCTGCCAAAGAACTCGAGGATGGAGACCCCAAAGCCAATGACCCCCAGCCCATTCCCATCTACTTCAACTCCTACACGTAATACTACAGAGGGGACATATTCTTCCCCAGCATTGACAGTAGGAAAGGAAGCCGAGTTTACTACTTCAGATGCCACCCAGTCTTATCCAAGTCAGGGCCCTACACCATCAAACTCAAACCCTGATACTGCTCAGCATACTAAACAACCTGAAGGAGCTACACCCAAGAGGTCTTTGTTTGTTACCCCTGGGGAATCCAGTTATTCCCAAAGTCCTAATACAACAGTAGAAGAGGATATCTCATCATCTAAATATATTCCCAGCCAGAATGTGAACAAAGTGGACAAGCCTAGTAGAGTTGATGAACATGAGAGTTATATTCCAACAGGGCTCAAGCCCAACAATATGCTCAGTGATACCAGAGATGACACCAGGACAACCAGAGGTGACACCAGTCCTACCAAAGGTGACATCAGTACTACCAGAGGTGACATCAGTACTACCAGAGGTGACATAAGCACTACCAGGGGTGAAGCCAGTAATAACAAGACTGATCCTAAATCTGTGCAGGATGATTCAAATGAGTTCAGTTTGAGTCTTGGTGACAGCTGGGATTCAAGTCCTGATTCTACTCTTAATGATTCATTTATGACTGATACTCCAAAAGATATCTCTAACCCACCCAATATACCCCCTTTACCTTTGTCCCCACCCCCGGGCACGCTACCTCCATCCCAAGGGAGCCTACCCCCAGCTTCAGATATTGACAAACAGGACGTATCTGATAAACCCCGTGAAGCTCCTGATTTTCCATTTGTTACAAAAGGTAGGCACTCTACTGTTACCTTAATAGTTTTTCATAATATAGTTCCAAATTGGAAAATAGCTATTCAATTTTTGATAGGCAGAACTAACTTCATGGGAAAAGCATACTTTTGAGATAAAATAGATAAAAGTTAATTTTTAGAAATATCCTGATTTGTGTGACTTCAACATACACTGTACTGTTATTTCAGAAAACACCTTTGATGTGCCTCTACAGAAAGGAAGTCAGGGATTGGGATTTAGTGTTATCGGAGGTAGAGGGAGCCACTCTACAGACCCGTTGCAATGCATCGCTAGAATACGTAAAATATTTCCCCTTGGTCCAGCTGCGTCAAGTGGCAAAATGGAGGTTGGCGATATAATCCTGGAGGTCAATGGGAAGAAGCTGAAAGGGCTTTCTCACAATGTAAGTAGCTCATTAGTTAACAACTTTAGTGTTCCGAACAGTTAAATAACAGCATATACATTGCCACCTGCTTATGTTTCTGAGCATTTAGCTGATCCATTTTTCTTTAATGAGTATATTAATTTTGAAGTTTGCAGAAATACCCCAAAAATGTATTCCCAATATAGTTAACTCCATATATATATATTTAAATACCTTTTTAGGAGACAGTAACTCTACTACGTACTACACCTTCTGAAGTGCACCTTTTATTGAGTCGTCCTGATCCTGGTGTGCTACCCCCAATTGCTGATATCCATGATGTTTCCTATGATCGTGACATCATGTCATCTCCAGTGAAATCACCACCAAGTCAATCGGTGGTTCAGTCCCCATTATTAACCCCGAAGACAAAAGAGAGCAAAATTAACAATCAGACAGCGAACAACTCAAAATTGAACAATATTAGTTCTCCTGGTGGAAGTGCGATGACATCAACTTTAAATTCTCGCAATGAAACTCCAACTTTAGAGAAAACGGAATCTCAGTCTGTTGGTCAAGAATACAGCCAAACACAATCAAGCTTTGCTTCAAATAAATCTGTTGTCAAATCTCCTGATAAGAATTCCCGTCAAAGCTCTTTCCAGAAACAATCAAATGTTAACAGTGAAACCGAATCTGATTCTGAATTTGAATTCAGTCTACCTGATTCATCTGTTACTGCAACTCCCCAAACTCAGAGTGAGGCTGCGACCCCTTACACTCGAAGTGGCGCTGTCACTTCAGAATCCAGCTTTGAGTCGTCATATGATGAATCAACAACAACTACACCAAGGCTTATATCACGAGATGCTAGCATGAAACAAACAACAAAGACTCCTTCTAATAGCACCAAAAATGATGAACACGCATCAACGGAAAAGGTTATGTCACCTATTCGGACCCCTGGTGCTAAAAGTGCAACAGATTCAACTGCAAGTTTTAATGTGATATTTGATGACAATAAGGAATATGCGAGGGATGTAATGACGCCATCTTTACATGATAGTAGCCAATCGTATATTGAATCTCCACCACAAGGGGGATTAAAGTACGATGATAACCTAAAACCAGGGGTAAGTCATTTTTGGAATACACAAATATTTTATTCTGTTGATGTGAATACTTGTGCATCTTTCAAAGGTAACAGTCACAAAGCCTGAAAGAATAGGGGAACATTATGCAGGAAAGTGACGCATTATTTACTGAGATTAGAATGAAAGTGGTGACATATTGTAATCTCCTCGAGCCAAGGGGTGTAACAAATGGCAGGTGGTGAGATCTTGCATGTTAATTCCTTGTTGTTCACTGTTATTACTCTCACTCTGATTTGGCCACTATTTACTACAGTAGGCCAAATATAGATGAAGACATGCTATTTTAAACATTGCAATATGTCTGTTATAGTGAAAATATAAATAACATCAAATCAAGTAGAATTTCATTTCACAATCAATAGATAAAAATAGATTGGTGAAAACCTGTAGGAAAAATGCAGATATTCAAACTGGACAATTAAAGTATGCTTAAACTCTGTGTGTCTTTGTAACATTACATTCTAGACTGGGATATGGTGTCTTATTTCCAAATCACACAGACTATTCGAGAAAAGAATTTTATGAGAAAGACGTGTCAATAATACAGCAAATCAAAAAATCGTCATTGTTAAATTATCAAAGCAAATGGTTCAATATGTAATGGATATTTGCAGGAGTTTGAAGTCTCCCTTACAAAAGCAGACAAAGGAGGTCTAGGATTCACAGTAGCAGGGAGTTCTGGGACAACAGGGGGCTGCTTTGTCAAGGCAGTGGTACAAGAGCCTGCTCTCTCTAATGGCAGGATTAGACCAGGGGACAAGCTTATACAGGTGACGGATATATATATATATATTCTTAACTCTCAATATTTGTACTTTCAGGAATTTGGTTCAAGGTATTTTTGGTAAAAAAATAAATTCAGTATTTCTTGTTCTTAAGAATTTTTTTTGATTAATAATGATTTTGGGAAACAGTGTTCCTATTGAATTACCCAAATGCGAGTAGGTAGTTACCAGTTTCACAACCAGGTGGCTGATTCGGGTCAGTTAACATGGCAGGTATACAAGAAAGTTCCCTTAAACTTGAATATCATCAACTTAAGTGGCTCAATTTTCATATAACCCTTATGCGTCTGATACTTATACTAATGAAAATATGTCCAGTAAAGCAAAATATTATCTGTCCACTAAAAGAAAAGATATTTCATTTTTAGTGATTTTATAGCATGGGGTCTATGGGGAATCTCCCCGAGCTAGAAGTCACATTTTCAAAGAAAATTAATTTTTCAAAGTTGATTAACACTTTTTAAAACCACATTTCTAGATGTAATTTTAGATGTAGATTTCAAATATGATATTACTTTGACTGAATTTTGAATTTTTAATGACGTAAATCAAGATTATTTCTACTCGCATCTGGGTTATTTGCCACTCAGTGCAGTTGCCATTTTTTAGTGTAATTCTGATATCTGTTATTTAAGGTCAATGAACAGGATATGAGAGATTTCACTCACGTTGATGCTGTATCATATCTCCGCAAAACTCCCCAAACTGTCATCATACGTCTATTCCGTGATCCATCACTTGATCTTGACATTACTACCTCCCCTGAGAAGAGTCTTCATGAACCACCACATAGACATTCTACACCTCGGAGAAAGGTGAACAATAACTTTAATGTTTGATGTGTAACCTGTGCAATTTCAATTTCCTCGATTAAAAATACAATTTTTATTAAAAACAATGATGGCTGAATGTTGTTATAAAAAAGAATTCATTGTTCAGTCGAGTAAAAATATGTTACCCATTTTTGAATGGTAGATTTATGAATATATAAGCGCACCTATAAGGTTGGTTTGCTTTCATAGCAAGCACTATATTTGACACTTACTTTTTCTATCCAGTCTGACTCAGATAGCTGGTCCACCTCAGATGAGGGTAGTTCTGGTGTTCCAAAGATCTCCGTAAAAAATATGATCAACAACTTTAACAACAGTGCTTCATTGATCAAACCTAAGGACTATAAAACTCAGGACGTTAAACCCCAGGACAGAAATTCCTTGGAGAATGAGACAAAGAATGAAGATATTGATGGAGATGGTAGTAAACCTGGTTTATTATCACCTGGAGATAGGAAGGATAAGTCAGGTAAGGACAAGATAGAATTGTTGATCTGTCCAGAGGTTGACAATCAACCGACTTGATAGGTATATTACACATCTCTAGTTGGCTCAATAGAACTTTACAGTGAAATCTGTTTTCTTTCATTAATTTCTGTTTTATTAAGATAAACATGTTTTACATATTTGTATAACAAACATTTATAGTTTTGGTCATGTAGGTATAATTATAGTGACATGACATTATGTACTTTTTGATGAATAGTTCTGAGCTTCAACGTTTTTTTACTGTTTTTTTTTATATTTATTAGATTCTCGAGACAGGACATCCAGTTTCTCATCATTTGGTGACGTCAGTTTGCCATTATCTGGTGGTGAGGAATCAAGTCAGAAACCTAGTGATGACATTACAACTAAGAAGGGAAATGTATACCAGCCTGAGGTATGCATTGAATGAATTGCCTAACATATTAGCCTTACAATTGATGACAATGATTGAATTATTTCATAATATAAAAATACCTGATACCATATGGGACATTCAACATTACTATCAAATCATTAAATACATTTTTGTGCTTAAGTAATCACTATGATACAGGCATTCCTAAAGTTATTTGAAATAATAAGGCTTAGTGTTTGTTCACTGATGCAATGACTGTACTCTGTTATGTATCTACATTGATAAGAAGCAGATTAAATAATTTGAAAAAATTGAAATTATAGAGTGGTCAGATCATCATAGAGTTGGAAAAATCCCAGGTTGGAGGTCTGGGGTTCAGTCTAACTGGAGCAAAGAAGGGAATATTCGTGAAGACAATAACAAAGGGAGGTCCAGCAGAGAAAGATGGCCGCCTCAGAGTTGGGGATAGGATTCTTCAGGTAAGAGGTGTTATCTCATAGAGATGGGATATGGGCCATATCTTAGGAGTATGTTAGAATATAAATGATATAATGGTCAGCTCAGGGTGGTTGATAGCTTTTTTGGTAAGGGTGTAAATTTAAAATTTTTATCAATATCCTATTGACATTGAATAAGGATATTGATATGTTATGATAATTTAATAAGCAAAAATGGCAGCTTCGTCACTGGGATAGAATTCTTCACAATCATAAAGAAAGAAAATTCAATATTTACTGTTTAGGGAAGAAAACAACCAAGACATGAGACCATCAATTTCTCCATGTATAAATAAGTTTCAGACATCACAATATATCCAATTCATTTAGTATGTTTTGTGTTTATTTTGCAGATAAATGATGAAACGGTGATTGGCATGACCCACAGTAAGGCAGTAACAATCTTAAGAAAGGCAAAGAACTCAGTTGTCTTAGCAGTGTCAAGGTAATTATTTTGATATCTGATATTTGGTTTGACAGTTATGTTATTTAGCCTTGTCAAACTTTATTACATGAATTATTCTATCTATTACATTATATGAAGTAAATTATTTTAAAAAACAATTGGCTATACTGAGTACAGGTAGAGTGAAGATCACAGGCTAATGCTACAAGATGGGAAAATGCCAAAGAGAAATTCTTTTCAATTTTGCAGTGGCGTAGTAATAAGACATACAATAGTATAGTCTCTAGTATTAAAGCCAATAGATGGGTGCTTAGATAAATGAATGACCACAAAATAAAGATATACTATAATACAGATATAATACTCCTGTAAATGGAATTTACAAGATTGTCAAAAAGTCAACTTATCCACTCATTAAATGACTTAATTTTTAGTCAAAAGTTTTTAAAGAAAAGTTTCAGTTGATGTATTGGTTTGAAAAACTTCATAGAATGAATTTTTCAACTATTTCGGGAGAATCACTTTTAATTAACCATATCACTGATCCATTAATTCCTGTATTATAGAACCTGATTCAACTCTATTTTGAGTAGATTATCTCAAGCTCTTAGTATTTACATGTACTTTACTACTTTGGTTTATGAACTCTTTGAATTTCATTGTAAGTGGAATGCAGTGAATGAAAATTGTGAAGTTTGGAGGAAATATTTTTTCATTTAGTTCAAAATAGTGACAAGTGTTTTATATCTCACTTTTAGAAAATTAGATGTTTTTTCAAATGTTATTTGATGAACAAGGTAATGGATAATAAGACATTATTAATGTTAAATATATTCCATCAGAAAAATGCAGTTTTGTACTAATATAGTGTGGACAGCGCATAACAACGATTTAGTTACAAAAATGTTATGTACTTTTCAGACCTAAAGATGATCCTTCAAACAATTTAAGAAAACACAGTGGGGCATCTCAACCACAAACTGGTGCTCCCTCCCCCAGGGATCCCCCCTCCAGGCCAGAGTCTAGGGAGGATTTCTCTCTGGGGTCTATGATCTCAAATAATCAGACAACTGATAGTGAACTTGACTTTACATTTGAAATCCCAGAAGATAAGACACCTTTGAGAAAGCATTCTGATTCCCAGGGACATCCAGTTGCTTCCACCCCGGAGCTTTATCAATCAGGGACAGGCACTGGGACATATAACTCAGGAGCAGAAGATCGTATTCAGAAGTATAAACTTCCGCCCCTCCCCAGGGATCCACCCCCAGATTCAGACACTGATTCTGACAGTTCCTGGGGAGACAATGATAGTGTACCCCTCCCTGGAGACGAATCATACCAATCCAACATGTCTGCCAATGACAGCATATCCGCAGTGACTGAAAAGCTGACAGATGATTGGTTGGATAATATGGAGATTGTTAAAACAGTGGATGGGAGGTTATACTCTGGTAGGGCATTGGAGAACACCATTGGGCAGTTGAAGGGAAAGATAGAACAGGATGACCCAATAGAGGAGTATAAAGACCTACGTCAAGTGAAGGCCACGGATCACTGTAGTGTGGCCAAACAGGCCAAGTTTAAGACAAAGAACCGATATAGGAATGTTCTACCATGTGAGTATTCATCTCAGATATGATCATGTTAGACAGTTATCTTGATATTCACTGACAAAACTCCCAGTTGAAAATGGTCAATGATAAAAGGTCGCAAAAATTTTGTAATTTTTGTAGTCAATGAAATTCTCTTGGAGATGAATATTGGTCTTGATATCTGGAATCCGTCAATACCTTAATATATGAAAAACTAATGTACTTAAGTCAAATCTCACAGCTTTAATATACTTGGTTTGACCCCGTCAGTAACCAATGATGAATTAAAATATGATGTTATTCAATATTTCAGATGATAAGAACCGAGTTCAACTATCTACCACTCCAGACTACATCAATGCCAGCCACATACGCATTCATATAAACAAAGACACACTTCATTACATCGCATCTCAAGGACCCCTTCCAAACACCACTCCTGACTTTTGGCAGATGGTCTGGGACTACAAGGTCAAGGTCATCGCCATGGTGACATTGGATGTTGAAGGAGGGAAGGTGAAGTGCCATAGATACTGGCCTGACTCTGCAGTAAGGCCTATAACTGTATTTGACAGGTAAGCCTCCAAGAGTCTTGTCTTGAAAAACTTAATTTTTGTGTTCCTTTGATTCATTTTTTTTAGGGCAAGTTTCTTGTGACTTATGAGTGTGATTTTTATTCCTCAAACATATTAAGTACAATATCAATATATTAATATAATACAATATATTAATACTTGAACTAGTTAAAAGTAAAAGTAGCAGAATATGTGAAGAAACGAAAGGACTGTTTTCTACTTAGCAATAATGCTTGCAGGTTGGAGCTATTTTAATTTTTTCTTGGTTTGATAACAGTATAGAAAACAACCCTGAACATAATAATATAACATACTATAATTAATGTTGACTTTAATGTTATTGTCATAAAATAGAGTACAGTAAACTAGCGATGATCTCTCCTCCACATGTCTACTGGGGTCACCATATCTTGTGAGAACAACTTGGTTTACTGTAAAGTTTACTGTAAACAAAAAAGAAATCAATGCCTATTACTGAATAGAAACATAATTATGAATATGTAATTACACGAAACAGTCAATTAAATGACTTTTGGATGTTTTCCATACTCAATATATTGAACATTGAAATTGTTGTTTTTCAACATATGTTGATGTGAATCCCCTGACCCCAAAATTTATTAAAAATTGTTTCATACAAATAATATGAAAAATTGGTTGACCACTTACATGATGGTATCCATGACCATGTGGAGCAACATATCCGTTGGGTCCAACAACCTTTCCACTCTGGGCATCAATGTAACCACCATTGTCTCCAACAATCAGACCAGATGGGGATTTGACAACAGCTCCGTTGGGTCCAACATTGGCATATGGGTAGCCATCTCCATATGGGGTGTAATCATGGGCATGGTGTCCGTGGAAGTGTCCGTGGTGTCCATGGAAATGTCCGTGGTGTCCATGGAAGTGTCCGTGTCCATGTCCATATCCATAGTCGACTTTGCCATCACGGTTAGCATCCAAAATGTCTGGGACACCGTCATTGTTCTCATCACCAGAATATCCACTGGGGGCAGCAGTTGCCAGGGCAACAAGAGCGAAAAGACACACAAAACGCATTTTGATTGATATTCTGAAAAACAAAACTTAGAATAAGCAGGAGTATTTTTCATCAAAATATACACTTTTTTTGTTTATTTGGTATACATGCGTACAAATAAAAAAAATCATGCAGTTATGCATCCTGTTGTTTAACCTGATTGAATTGTACAAAATTAACCAAATTGCTAACTTACCTTTGTGTATTAACCCAATGAGTTGAATGATTTCCAGTCAGTTTGTCTTAGTTTATATAGTCCTCTTTGCACCTTAGGCCATAACACTATTCATGTGGCCACTCCATGTTTGAATGAATTAACGAATAAACAATATTAATATATTCATCAATACAATAGGACAGCCATGGGTGATTTGGAAATGAGTTCAGAGTTAGATAATAAATGCTTTTGGCTCATTATATTGTTATCCCATCGAACGAAGTTCGGAGGGATATAGGGAACGCCTCCGTCTGTCCGTCCGTCCGTCCGTCCGTCCGTCCGTCCGTCCGTCCGTCCGTACGTCCGTCCGTACGTACGTACGTATATAGGACATTAATAAAGCTAGAAATGTAGATATTAAAGAAACACATGGCAGCCATCTGAAAAATGGCGGCCTTTACTCGTTATTTTACGATTTTTGCTGTAACTCGAAAAGTAGTGGAGGGATTTTGTTCATATTTGGTATGTGAATACTATAAACATTGCACACTGTCTAAAGACACTTTTGGTAGAAGGTGGCCATTTTAAAAAATGGCCACCATTTTAACCTATTTTACTATAACTCGAAAAGTAGTGAAGCAATTTTGTTCATATTTGGTATTTGAATACTATAAGGATGGCACACTGTCTAATGACACTTTTGGTAGAAGGCAGCCATTTTTCAAAATGGCCGCCATTTTAATGTATTTTACTATAACTCGAAAAGTAGTGGAGCGATTTTGTTCATATTTGGTATGTGAATACTAAAAGCATGACACACTATCCTATGACACTTTTAGTAGAAGGTGGCCATTTTGAAAAAAATTTTGAAAAATGACCCCCATTTTAATGTATTTTATAATAATTCGAAAAGTATTGAAGTGATTTTGTTCATATCTGGTATGTGAATACTGTAAGCATGGCACACTGTCTAATGACACTTGAAAAATGGCCGCCATTTTAACGTATTTTACTATAACTCGAAAAGTAGTGGAGCGATTTTGTTCATATTTGGTATGTGAATACTAGAAGTATGGCAAATGGTCTAATGACACTTTTGGTAGAAGGTGGCCATTTTGAAAAATGCCTGCCATTTTTGCTATATACTTTGTTTGTAAAAATGCCATCCATGGCTGTTCGATGGGATTCGCTACGCTTTGGCGTTGCCGTTGTTCTGGTTAAAACAGGAATGTTGAGTCCTTAGAATAAGGTGTCTTTTCACAAAACTTTCCATATATTTTCAAACAATTTACCTACTGAAAAGGTTGTTTCTAAAAACTCTCTCAGTGGTCAAATTTAAAATATTGGAAGTGTACAGTGGCAGCTTTTTAAAAGTTTCTGACCCTTGTTATATGGCCCTTTTTGTGTCTAGGTTTGAATGATGTAGATATTATGTATTTCCAGGTACGAAGTGTCTCTAGTAAAATTGATAGAACTCGAGAAGTTTGATGTCCGTCAACTGAAAATGACCGATCGAGAATCGGGAACATCTCACAATATTGTACACCTGAATTATACAGGCTGGCCTGACCATGGTGTACCACACACAGCCAGGAGTATATTACAGGTAGGGGATAGATATGGTAGTTCAATGCTTGCTGTCTTTTGTCTGAGGTGATATCTTATGCCTTGGTCACATTTTCTACGATTTTCACTACGGCGCCTGGCCACTTGCGTATTTTGTTCAAAATTGAATACAATATTGAGCAAAACACTAATCTGCCAGGCGCCAGCTGATGGATCGGAGTAAATGTGACCCAGGCATTAACCTGATCTTTGGGACTGGTAATCCTAAAGTCTCAAACCCAAGTTGTCTTGTCTCACATGCTATAGAAGAAGCGGGAAGGTCACTGGAAAGGTGGCACTCTGTACTAACTGAAATATAGGAATCCTAGTTTTTCTTTAGAACATCAAGTATCATCTTAACTTAAGGTTAGTGGGATCCATAGTTGTCCTCTCAAAGTCATCATACAAGGTCAGCTTAACCTTGGATTATTAATGGTCAATTCCCTAACGTACCCTTTTACGTCTTTCCCCAACTTGGAACAAAATAAACTTAAACGCTTCTAGTTTTAGGATTTTTCAGCAAATAGGCATGTCCTGGACTAAATGAGAGAGAAAAATTGTAACTATTTTTTTCAAAACTTACTTACACGACTTATAACTAGTTTGTAAGTTGCCAAACTGTTCAGTTTGATTTCATTATCAAGACAGAAAATATGAATCCCATACACATGTGCAGTGAGACATACTTTGTTATTCTTCAGTATGTGCAGTTGATTCATACATTCAACAGTGGTGGACCAATCATTGTTCACTGTAGTGCTGGGATTGGTAGAACAGGGGCAATCATTACCATAGACACAGTGTTAGCTAATATACAAAGAGATCACAGGGTAAGTGTCGTTCATATTTATTCTTGCAAATCAGGCTTTAGAAAAGTCTCAACATATTGAATACCACACACGAAAGAGGATGTAGCAAACGAGAGCATTTGCATATTTTACCGTTTTTTTGCAATATGATTCCGATAACAATTTTTGGTGAGATCATTGAAAATTCCTTAGCATTTTCATTTTTTAAATTACCACCAGGCAGTAATGCCATTTTGTTATAGCCTCCATTTTTGTGACCAATCATTGCAGTCAGTATCAGCATCTATACCAAATGGTTCAACTTTTTAATCGCAACCAGGTGGTTATATTTTGTCATGTTAACTTCTTTAGTGTAATATTCGACTCATTTAACATGTATGAGTACATGCTCCTTATGGCAATGTATAACTATTACATTATGCTAATATTTGTTTTGAAACCTTTCAGTTTGATATCCATGAGATAGTACATACACTACGTAAGCAGAGACAGGGGATGATACAAACTAAGGTAAGTTGAGTCAGGTGTCCCCAGTATTTGTGTCTAGGTCTGCAAAAAACAGTCTCCATCATCATAGCTTGCATTTGAAGTCTAACTTCTCCACCTTTTTCGTTTGAGCATATGAATATTAGTTACGTATAGGCAGAAAATGGGAGTTTGCTGACTTCATATCCTGCTGATATATAGGCTTTAGAAAATAATTAACTATGATTTAAAGAGGGTAGATAGGATGAAGCTATTCCAAAGGGCATCTTCTATGATTTTCTTCAATGTGATCTCAGTTGGTCAAATGAATTCTACATTATCCCTGATTTTCTTGTTCTTTTTGTTTCAATAGTTTAAGATAGTCCTGGGCTTTCAAGTAGAAATTATTGAAAGTCCATGAAATAGTTTAGTCCCAAACTATCATTATTTGAGGAATTGTCATTCCAATTCCATTTAATTTGAATATTTTGACTTTGGCTATGGTTTCTACAATTATTTGTGAATTATTTATTTATTTTCAGGATCAGTATCTGTTCTGCTATTCTGCTGCTTCAGAAGCTCTGCAGTTTCTCCTTAACAAAGATGAGGGTAAAAAGTGATGAATTATTCCCATTGGTTATATATTCAGTAGGATGGAGATTATTTAAATTATTAGATCATGTATCAAAAGGTACATGATGTACCCTGCACACAGAGTCTAGTTATAAACTACCCTTTGCCTAGTATAGACTATATTAGTTGAAGGGATGCAAAGGGTATACTAGTATCTAATGGGATAGGATATGCATGGGCCAAACAATACCTTATAGGATATGCATGGATCTTAGTATGAAATTCATTGTAGCAACCAATGTTGACATTATTGCAATCAATGAGGACATTCTAGGAACTGTGGATATTGTCTGTTGCAAGCAATGATGACATTGTAGCAATCAATACTGACATAATTGCAAGCAATGAGGACACTGTAGCAGAGGTTTAAAGAACAGTGTATTAAAGCTTTGAGGTTTGAAAATAAGGTCATGAAATCATACCACTGAGGACTTTACTGGTTTTCGAGATTTACTAATAAGTACATGTAATTGTGAATCATAACATGGGTGGAGGATTTATAAGATAATCTACTGTGCAGCATACTTAGCAGAAGTCTATGTGCATGAATTATTAATAAACTATAAGAGATGGTCTCAGTCATAAACATATCTTACGACAGTATAGGACAGGATTTATATTAGCCCAGAGCTTTGGATACTCTTAACTGGGAACACTGAACGGAACATATATGGATATGATGTCCATAGTAGCTGGAGTGTTCCAAAGAGAACTAAATCTAAGAATTCTTTGTATATTGTACTTCTACTTAATTTGGTGCTACTTATTTTGGCGGATTTGTTGTTTAGGTGGCTACTTAATTTGACGGACTTGCAATATTACAATGTACTAATGGTACTTTACATGGTACTAAAATAACTGGGAAATTTGGAGGCGACTTAATTTGCCGGACTTCAACAATTTGGCGGATCCTCCAAATTAAAACGGCCGTCAAATTAAGTAGAAGTTCAGTAGTTAACTACATGTGTGTATGATGGTAGAAAATTGAAAATTGCTCATTTAAATAAGTAACAATTAAAAAAGTAAGCAGGATGTTTGATTTTATTAAGTGTGATCTCTTTTAAAAATTCATACATGTAATATGATGATTAATTTTAAACACTTAAAGCTTGCCAAAGTCAGTCCACTCTGAACATTAAGCCTTAAACATGGGTCTTACTCAGTATACCATTATTCAACATGTTATAGATTATTTGAATAATCAAAACAATATGAAGTATACACTAATGATGTTCATAACAGAATGAGAAATGGAAAATGAACATTCAAGATATTCTCAAACTAAATGAACATGTTGAAGTAAGTAGCAAAAAGCAGGGCATGGGTGTAGCGCCCGTTACGCTGGGTACGCACAGGCGTACCAGATGGTTGCAAATTCGCTCCAAATACAACCAAATTTCAAAATTTTCCCAGACCCCCCTTAATGCTCGTCTTTTAATCCACTCAACCCTTGTTCCTGTGGTGGTGGCAGCATACTACTTAGAAAAATAGCGCTACGCCCATGCAGGGGTATACAGTACTATATCGCATTATAATTTTTATGGTGCTAAAATGAACTAGAGATGGCAAGCTAGATATTAGATACTTTCAATTCATTGTAATTTAAACTCAATATTACTCAATATTTATCACTGAATATAATATTGAACTGAATTTTTACTCTTGTATTATTGTGATAGAATACAAAAAATACAAAAATTTAAAAGGTGATCAGGTAGATTTAAGAATTAATATTTTTACAACAAAATTTTGTACATATTAGTCAAAATCATTCATCCATCCATCCATCCAACCATATTATTTGTATATATCCTCTCTACAGTATATTTATCCATCCATAATATTGATACTCAACCAGTGTGTGGTGATATGTGGTATATATTTACATGTATAGGAAATGTGCAATATTTTTGTAAATAAGTAAACATGTGTATGACTCAAATCAGAATATACTGTATTGTAAAACATGTGAATTTTATATGTACTGAATAAGTAATTTTACCGTTGATAATTGAACATAATAGTGAAATATGTGTACTGGTCATTCTTTATGAAGCAAAGTCTAAGTCAGTGCTAGAAATTCAGTTTCTGAAAATGAAAATGAATGAATTAGACATGTTGCCATGGTAACATTACATAGAGATGGTCTCCAATGTCAACAATGTGATAAAGGACAGTCATCAATAAACCAATGTTGTTTCAGAGACTCCATTCTTAAATTCTGTCTCTCCTCCCTTTTATTCATTGTTTAGTTTCAGAAGCAATCTACTCCTTTTGTGGCTTCCTAAATCATCCTTGAGCAACACAGTCGATTTGTATTGAATTTTAACATGTTGAATCCATAATGATTTGTACCTTTGTGTTTTATAGTAAATCATTATTACCAAACAGAGATATTGTGTCACTAGTTTTTAGGATTGTTCACCACTTTGTACATGTATAGTTTTTGGTCCTTTGTGTTTATACCTAGTTTGTTTATTTTATCTATATTTATTAATATGATCACTTAAGCAGTTTCATTTCTGTTAATTAGCAGAATGTTTATGATGTTCTTTGGGGATCAGACTTTCAAAGTGCCTATCAAAATATACAATATATGCAAGTTACAGAGACCAAATGTTGGTTAATACAGTTAAACCTGGAAAGTGGAATAGCTCTAAGTGCAATTGTAACACCTTCATCTGTGGAACACCTTCATAAGTGGAACTGTTTTTAAGTGCTGTTACCCATTAACTTGATATGAAATGAACCTCCGCAAATGCAACACCTCCAAAGTTGAACCCTATTTTTAGGTACCAAAGGTGTTCCACTTTCGCAGGTTTTACTGTAATAGCTTTTATAAGGAAGGGGCATGAGCATTACATAACGTTAAAAGCATTTATGTATTCAAGTGCACCTTATTTCATATTGCATATTTGGTTACTGTTTTATGATTTATCAATAAATTATACAGATCTGAAGATTGGAAAGTGAATAAAATACATGTATTACAATAAACATACTATAATTGTTCTTTGTTCTGTAAACACTTATCTGGGCTGCTTTAGTATTGTATCCCCAATTTATAATGATTTGCACATCTTTTTTCAATTATTTGCTATGTTACAAGCCATAATGTTACAAATAATGATTTTTTTGGTACAATACATATTGGTACAACCAGGACAATATCGTTTGGACAATACCGTTTGGTATTATGAGATTATCCAATGAATCACTAATCACTAAAATGAAGAATTCTGTCATTTGGTTTTGGCTAACATCAAAATGTTTTTTTTTTAGTTTTAACCTTAAAAATGAAGTTGATGACATCCAATCTTTTGCGATGATTACAAAACATGATTATGACATAGACAAATTAAGTAGAGAATTATATACACTTAATTTATGAATCTTTATAGGTTTAAATAACTAGCTTAAAAAATACAAAGATAAGATAATTTGATAAGATACAACTTTCCCAATTAACTAATCCTTACTTTTTGTTTCTGTAAAAATATAAATGAAAAAGATTTTATCAAGAAATTCACTAAGTAATGGTTGGTCAAACTAGATATGAGTGAATGTCAAACTTCTCATTTACCCCCTGACATGTAATTCGATATTCATTGAGTTCTATTTTAAGGCAATGAAACCATTTTTCTACCATGGATTTGATACATTAGGTATTTGGATTGGATTGTACATGTATTTTGATAGGACTGCTAGAATCTACAACTTAAATTGTTTTAAAGATGTCTCACTAACATAATACCCAGCGACATCTATAAATCATATTTATGATTATACTGAAGTCTACTACATATCTAGAAATTACACAATTATAAACGTATATAAAATCAAATTCAATTAACATTATTCCTTCATCTTATTGAGCAAAAGTAAATGTCATATCATAAATGCAAAATATAAGGAAAATAGATTGAAGTTAGTATAGAATAAAAGCCTTGTCATGAGACGCCACACAAAGATTATTAGACATGGACATTTCAAACACAGAAATGGAACAAAATCACATAGAACATCGGAATAATGGAACGTTACACGACCATGAGCCAATACAGAATGGTTGGGTGAAGTTGAATATAGGTGGGACGCTGTATATGACAACAAGAGCAACTTTATGCCGAGATCACAAGTCATTTTTATACAGACTCTGTCAAGATGATCCACACTTGAATTCAGATAAGGTAGGGCTCAGGCAACACTTATTAAATAAAGATGCATCACTCAGTATACCATAGATTTCTCTCCCAGACAATCTATGATGTCCCATTATTATTGCTTATATTCACAGTCAGCACTATCAATGGTATATCCTAAAAATATAGGGAATAGTATATAGAGACTAAAAGTCCAAAAGGCTTTTGTGACAATATTTCCCGGAAGTGTTATATTTCCATTTATCCTTCAAACTGTGACATTTATGCTAATAACTCGACATGTATATGATTCTTACATACCCAATACGATCAAAAACGTTACTAACATACCAAATGAAAGGTGATTTCCTGGTCAAACTTGCAAAAGTTTGTCCAAATTCGCACTTGAACCGAATATTTACCGGAAGTGTTTATATTTCCATTTAGGTGTCACTACGGTAAATCATTGAAAAATATTGAAAAAATCACAAAATTCAAGTTTGGGATACATATCGCCATTTTCGAACGAATTAGCCCATACAATAACTATATTTCTGCGTTCCCCTATACATAACCTTCATCTTGACCATACATTTAACATAGGATTTACGTCTCGATTTTTAAATATCACTACGCCAACATAGGGACTCATTTTTAGGTAAAATCCCTGCTTCACCGATGAAAATTAACGAATAAAGTAGTTCCAGTTTACGGCACTATATTTTGGCGATTTCTTTCTAAAATGGCACATTTAGAAAGTAATTGGCCTCAGTGCAGCTTTACATACATACCTCAAATGGCCACAATGCATATACTTAAGGTGCCATGGAAGTTAACAGGAAATGACAAAACAGGAATTGACAATTTTTTTTGTATTTTTAGACATTTTTTGAACAAAGATAACAGAGTTCTGTTTTGACCTCCAGTCAATTCAACTAGTTCCAAATACCATTTACAGGTCCAGGATCACAATGTTCATGGTCAGAATGACCCTAAACATGATGAAATAACCTTTTCCGCCCTATGAAAATGTGACTGAAAAATAGCTAAAAGTAGGTGCTCAGGAAAGGTCAATGAACAGAATCTTGTGATTTTTCCAGTAAATGTGTCCAATGTATTGCTCTAATGATACAATCTTTGAAAATTTGATATCATTCATAGAAAAAGAAAAAAAATGAAAAAAAACTGATTTGAAAAGCAATCTATTTTCCTTTTTATGACCGCCATTTTCAAAGATTGTATCAGTTAGAGCATTATATTGGGCATGTTTTCTGAAAAATTCAAAAGATTCTGTTCAGTGACCTTCCCTAGCTCCTACTTTTAGCTTTTTTTCAGTCACACTTTCAAAGGGCTAAAAAGGTTATTTCATCATGTTTAGGGTCATTCTGACCATGCACATTGTGATCCTGGTCATGTAAATGATATGTGGAAATAGTTAAATTGACTGGAGGTCAAACCAGAACTCTGTTATCTTTGTTCAAAAAATGTCTAAAAATGCAAAAAAAATTTCACTTCCTGTTTCGTCATTTCCTGTTAACTTCCATGGCACCTTAAACCTACTATGCACACCATTGAAGTTGGCATGGCTTCGTTTTTAAGTATTAAAAAACACTGTCCTACCCGGAAGTGGTATTTACCGTAGAAACACCTTAATATCCAAAAATGGAAAAATTTTACCATGATAATTTATGCTCATTCAGCATTTTTTCAAACAATTGAGTTATTTCATGCTCAAAACAGCTGGATTTTCAAACTTTTAACACATTTTCTACAAAATCTAGTCATATTTGGGGAAATAGGTGAGGGCTGAGTCTCTAAAAACTGGCCAAAATGACCTAAAATTGGGTCATCAACTTCAGACATCTCATGCAAAAAATTTAGATGCAAAATCCCCGAGATTATCTCATTTTGTAAATCATTATAGCAATGCCTTTCAAGTATTACACAGAATGTACTGAAATGTATGTTGCTAAATGCAAATATTTTGAGTCAAATGTGGTCCCCATGTGGAAAATCTGCCCTTTTCTCCCCTTTACGCCAGTTAGGCCCCAGTGTATTGTGACATCATACTCATACCATTGCTACAATGTAGCATTTTACAAATTAATCATGATTACTCTTCCTGTGATACACAGTTGAACACTGTTTTTGCATCGTGATATTCCCCAGTGTGTTGACTGATTACACGCCAGCTTATTTAGTTACTTACTAAGTACGCAACAACCACTATCAAAGACCTGCCGGCACCTATTTATTTTTGGGTTGGTAATGGAATTTTACAAGGGCAATACGAGAAGAATTCAATTTTTTAGAATTTCATGATAATTACGGTAGATTTTACGGTAGTTTGAACAAGAATACTTTAAATTCCAGCAGAAATATTGTAGTTTTCAAATATTTACGGTATATTTTTAGGCTGTTCTTATAGAAAAAATCGAATTATAATAAAATATTGTACGGTAGATTTTGGTAAAATTACAGTAGATTTTTTACGGTCGTTTTTACAGGAAAAAACAGTAATTTTTACGGTATTTGTGTTTTTTTTACCGAAAAACGAATATTTTATGGTAGATGCCGGTAAAAATACGGTAGGTTGGCAGGTATGAGTTACCATGGCAACCTTGGAAATGGGTAAAAATGAGAGCAAAAAACACCCAGACCCGCCATAATGGCACTTATTTTCAAAATATTTCGAGACATACAAATTTTCTTAAACTTTGATATCATCTAGAACACTTCTAGACAACAAAAATATCAAAAATTGGGGGAAGGTTTATCACTTCAATTTTTTGCAAGCCTTGGTCAAAGTAAAGCTACGAAAAAAGCACTCATTTTCACTTTAGAATCACCTATTATCGCCCAAATGGCTATATGTTGTCCAGGTCGCCATGTTAAAAGTAGAATTAGAATGCGCTTCAGACAATGTTAGATAGCTTTCCTTTATCACGGAACAAAGATCTTTGCACTGGTATGCCCATTTCCATGAGATAATGCACGTGACCCACCATGGTTTGGGACCATTATTTTTTAAACATTGGATTGAAAATGATGTAATATATATAAATGATATTGTTAAAGATGGAATGTTATGTTCATATAATGTCATAGTTCAAAAAGTACAGCGCAATTGACAAACCATGCTGCAGTATAATATTTTAAAAGCATGTGTTAAACAAGAGTTAATTACAAAGTATGGAAATGAAGAGAATAATAACAACTTGAGATTTGTAAATAGAGAATTTTGTAAATCAGATTCAAAGTATATACGATCAGAGTTAGTCTTGGCAAGAAAATGTGATATTAAATCTGATAATACATTGATAAGTAAGGATGTGTGGAACACACTTTTTAATTGTACAAAAGATAATAAGCTCAAAATTATCCAATGGAAGATTATCCATAAATTTATCCAAGTGGCAAATATCTCAAACAGTGTAAAATACAAGATTCAGATAAATGTAAATATTGTGATAATGAAATTGATGATGATATGCACTATTTCATGTATTTTCTGAAGTGTAAAGAAGTTTTAAATATTTTGAACACCTGTGATTGTAATTGTCTCAGTGATAAACAAAAACTTGGTATTGAAAATTTCGCACAAGAAAAATATTTTAAAAGTGTGATTATAAAAATAGCTATCCATATGTTTAAATGTGATCTGCTGAATGAGCAGGAAACTTTGAAAATGATAGATAATAGGGAAAAATCATTTTACAACATGTAACCTTTATATGTAAATGTATTAATTGTACTGTATATATGTTTTTGATTTGAAATATAGTTTTTTAATAAAAAAAATGGTGGGTTTGGGTGCTTTTTTGCTCCCATTTTTTACCCCATTTCTACGGTTGCCATGGCAACTATTAGGCTTTGGTAACCATGCCAACTTGATTTTTGAAGGACATCCACCTGATAGTAGTTGGGCCAGGTTTGATGGAAAATGGGCCTGGTTTGATATGCTGGCAGTGAGGCTGATTGTGGCAAGTAGTGAAACGGCAAAACAATGGTGGAGTCTTGTACTATAATTTTAAATTAGAGCTCTCCAAGAGAAATATTATCATGTAATGCAACAGGTAACTTATGTAAACAAATTTTTAAATTTATGTAATCTTTTTTTAATTATCTGAAATAAAAAAAATTAAATATAAAAAAAGGAATGCAATACAAAGAGAGAATTGTATAATAATCACAAACTTTTAATAAATACATGCTGGTATAAAGTAAAAAAAAAAAAAAAAAAAAGGTGGAGTTATACCATACCGCAGTTGTGAAACAAAATGGCAAAAAGCTTTTGAACTTTTAGGATTATATCTAAAGGTATAGTATACCATTGATAGTGCTGACTTTGCTTATATTATATCTTATATCTTGAGACCACGAATAGAACAGGAAGTTCTACTAGATTGTCCCGTTCATTGTAATGAATGTTCACTATTCATAAATTTATCAATATTTTAAAAGTTAAGAATAAATTTTGGATCCGTTATATAAGTTGCAAAATTGACCATTTTTGTACACTTTCGTAAGTCATTCATACTTTTTCAATTGTTTTGAGCTAGATTTACGCCGGGGATTTACGATTGGGTTGACATCATATTCCACCGTTGTCAGGGCAGATAATACAAGAAACAGGATTCATCTTACTTCCTGCGAAAGCTATGTGGATTTTGATATAATAGCTTTCCCATGAATTAAGTCGATCAGGGGCTTACTTTTGGTCTCTAACTGTGTCTTCCATCAGTATCATCAATCCGTGCAAGTATTGGAGCGCTGAAATACTTCTTTTTCGATCAAGACTTGTAAATTGTTCATCGAGTGAATGTTTTTTCGACCCATTTCCAATATGGCGGTTTGCTAGGAGCGTGATACGCAACGAACGAAATGAATTTTGAGAATGAGTTAGGTTCGGACAACCTCCGGAGATTTACGAAAATGTCCAAGCAGAAAACGCCATATTGGACTACATTCACTCGACTAACAATTACAAGTCTTGATCGAAAAGGAAGTACTTCAGCACTCCAATACTTGCATGGAAGGATGATAAT